TTCCATGGACAGAGAATGCCTGAAATGGGCTAGTCACAGACTAACAGGGAATACAGAAAGACCCATGAACAAGAAGGAGGGGGCAGGGAAAGAGATGCAGGGCCCCTTCCTAATTTCAAAAACTACCACAGCGTAGACATGTTTCAAAATTGACTAAAGACACCATTTGCTGATGCTTTAGTGTGGAATAGGGAGCAAAGACAGAAGCACCTGCCCAAGAGACATTAACAGCATGAGAAGTAGGAGAGTCACTGTCCACCAAATAATAATTAAGGGATATGAACTGCATGAAGAGAGGGAGCAGGTTCAAGCCTAAGAGAATATACATGAGCACAAAGCAGAAAGAAAGAGGACACTTGGGGCTGGATAACTATTAGGGCTGTGCACATACACGCCAAATCCAGCACTTTGGATAGACACCAAATCAATTCAGGGGCCAGTCCAAATTCGTAATCAGGGTTTAAATCCTTCACCCCCATCATTATTTAACCCTCTGTTCACCAGCTATTGAGCAGGGAATTCAACCTTGCTGGGTGTTGCTTCGCCACCACATTTCATGCAGGGAACATGCTAATGAAGCAGAACCTGCCTGCCTCCCCACCCAATTATGACAGTCTCAAATTGCTCCAAGTGAGTCAACTTGACCAGGGGTGTCTCAAACCAATCTGGCCAGAGCCTAGATCTGCCCAGATGTGTTCAGGATTTAGTCAAATGTAAGTGTAGCTTTACAAATGTGCTAGCAGTATTACTACTGCTGCACCACCAGGAGGGTACAACCCGCATGGAAACTCAGAAGGCCTCTATCTCAATTAGTTGTGATACAGTAAGTATAGCCATTTTGCATGGGAGTTCCATTCCTGGCCTCCGCACACGTCAGTGGAGCACCTCTTGCCCTCTTCCAGGTCCAAAAGGACCCACGCACTTGCAGTCGCATGTTAACTGGTCAAGCGCAAAACTGGACTATCTCACTGTAGCAGTGCAGGGGACAGCATGTGCAAATCAAGCCTCACTGCCACTACTTTTCATAAATTAGCCATATGTGATGCAAAATGATAGCTCTGAGGACTACCTAGTGTAGAGATGAATGGTGCTATTGGAAAGCCTCTTTGAACATGCACTTTCATTGACAGAATACATTCAAAGGGTAGATATGCCAACTAAAATGAGATTACAAACTAGCAGTAAATAAGCCTTGGATGTAATCAGAGCATGCACCATTCATAATTGAAAACCAGCAGTATAATCAAATTCAATCTGTTGTTCTATAAACAGCTAACATATATACAGTGGTGCCCCGCAAGACGAATGCCTCGCAAGACGGAAAACCCGCTAGACGAAAGGGTTTTCCGTTTTTGAGTTGCTTCGCAGGACGAATTTCCCTATGGGCTTGCTTCGCAAGACGAAAATGTCTTGCGAGTCTTGAGATTTTTTTTCGCTCCCCCCCCTTTTTTCTAAGCCACTAAGCCGCTAATAGCCTTTTAGCAGCTAATCCGCTAAGCCTTTAATAGCCGCTAAACCGCTACTAGGGTTGCTTCGCAAGACGAAAAAACCGCTAGACGAAGACACTCGCGGAACGGATTAATTTCGTACATGCTCATGGTTGCCTAAGACCTGGAACCACCACCAGGAGTTGCATCATTTCCATTTTGAGTTGCATCCAACACTGTCTCTGCACCCACAGAATGGACTTCCACTCACATAGAGCAAGTTCAGTCCTCCCTGTACCAACAAAATCTGATTTGGATGTTCCAGAGAATGAGGAGACAGGGTGCAGCACTGCAGGGGAAAGGCCAAGTCCCAATGAGCAAACCCAAGTCTCCCATAAAGCTGTGTTTTGCCTTTTGTGATTAGCACATCTTTTACAGTTCTTGTAAAGCAATGCTTGAGACACATGAATATTTGTAACTCTTCCTTTTAATTTATTCCAGAAATGCAAATAAAAGGCTGACATTCAATGGTGTCCATCCACCAGCAGATTTCCCATCCCCACTGCAGCTCCCCATGCTCCCAAAATCTCCTTCGGTGTTTGGGACACTCCAGAACAGATTTGGAGGCGGTGAGGGCTGCAGTGGGAAGAGGAAATGCATGTCTTGCTGCACAAGTAGAAATGCACTTGTACAACATTGGATGTGGTGTAGAAACAGCTGAGATAGCTACTAGGATGACAAATAAACAGTGGGGGGAAAGGAGTATATTATTTATGGTATACAGTTTGTCCCCCACAAGGAGTGTTACACACGTGTTCCTGTCATACCACAAAATGTGCACAGGATTTCAGTCTAAATTTTCTAAAATTATTGGATAGAATATTGTCAGCAGTCAATTATTGTGTCATGAAAAACCACAGAGCATACACAAAATTGCAACACAAAGCTTAAGGTGAGGATTAGTAACAAAGAACTAAAGCTTCTAAATACTGAATGCAGTGAATGTAGGAGAATAAAATAAGCAGAAATTCATAGACCCAGAGACACTTTCTGATCAGCTACATGTCCTTATTGCTTTTTCCATTTTTTGTTATGGTATCTTGGGGGGGGGGGGAGCTGCACTTGCATGATCACTTCTGAGGACATATTATTTTAAAAATGTACATACAGGCCTAAATAACGAACAGAACACTACTTCTCACCTGGAGATGTTATGTAGTTAACACAGTAATTCTCTCTCCACTTTTAAAAATAGACCAAAAGATGCAGGCTGCACTTTTATTTTTGGAAAAGCATGCATAAAGGGAAGTCGATATCTTGAGCAGTAAATGCCATCAAAGAACCCTACATTTTTTTACAAATGTTTCCATGGTATGTATGCTCAGCATACAGCAAGAACTGCAAACCCACAACACTTGTATAAGTGTCATTTAGTGTCAAATGCACACACTTTAGCACTTACATTTGATTTTTAGCAGCTTGTCTCTGCGCTTTCCGCTCTTTCCTCTTTTGATCAGGTGGCTTTGCAAAAACTATTTCTATATTTTCTCCTTCCAGATCTTTTCCGTTCATTCCTTCCATTGCCTGTGGAGAATAGTTTTGAAATGCATATTGGCAATAAATTCTTCCAAAAACGTATTTTTTTTAATAATATGCAAAGAACGCAGACGATATGAATAGTAAGAGATGTTGAGTAGTAAGAGATCTACCGCTGGTAGATATGTAGGGCATATAAGCCCACCTCCTGTCCACTAGAGGCCCTGTCTGAGGTCCTTTGATTTTTCCAATGTGTAGGTTTTCAAAAATACTCCTTGCAACCCATGAGGGCTTGAAACCAGATCTGCAAAAAGATCTGTGCTGCAAAGCAAACACTTGAAATTAAAGCAGCTACACATTCCCACAAAATAGGTTGAAAGGTAAAGTTGTTCAAAGTAAAAACAAAGAGAATAGGGAATTGTATTAACAAAGAGAACAAAATGTAATTCTTCACCTTTCAAATACTGAGATGACCAAAATTGGAAACTGCGTTTTCCCCTATGACAATTCTATTTTTATTTGGAGGGGAGGGTAGAAATGTAAATGGTTGCATTTGGTGTCATGATTAAGTTTAGAAAACTTCAGGTATATTTAGCCACTCTAACTCCTACTTGGACATGCAACACTTCATTTGCAAATAGAAGGGTCCCATTCATGAAACAGACAAGAGATGCAGCAGGGGTTCTCAATGAAGAAAGGCGATTTAACCAATTCCTCCTTCCTACTACAAGCCTCATGTCACTTCCTACACTGTTCAGGGGTCTCCTAGACCTCCAGAGTGGCTTTTCAGGGGAAAGGCGTAAATGCCCAGGTTGGAGGTTTCTGTAACTGGAATTCCACTCATGAAAACTCTGGACTCAGCTGTTTCTGCACGGTGCACAAGGGTTTTAGAGTAGACTCTGGCTTAAAAATGAGCAGATCAGTGAACTGAACAGCCTGCATTCTATCCTTATTTTTAAAAGAGTATAGGACAAGGTAAGCATAGGAGAAGCAATGATTTTTCTACTTGGAGAGACAGACAGCAAAAATGAACACCAAACTTCTCAGAACATTAACAGCCAACTGCTGTATTCATATCACTTTAGAGCCCAAAACTACAGCACAAAGCTTTAAGCATTTTATAACACAAATGTTTTAGCTAAACATGTAACTTAAAAATAATTTGATCATGTAGCAGTAGCTGCACTGTTAATCAAAACCTACCTTTACAGCACCATCACGTTCATCAAAATGGATAAAAGCGTAATCTTTTAGCTTTTTCACTCGCTCCAGCTTTCCAAACTGACTAAAGGCCTTTTCTAGTATCTCCTCTGTGACTGAATTTGCAAGGTTCCGCACAAATAACACTTTCACCTAAAATAAAGCAATAAGGGTTAATTCAGACTACAATTTTGTTTCATTCTTTGAAATACCGGCATTTGCCAAGAGCACTTGGGATGTGCCGTTGAGCTGTATCAAACACTGCAAAAGCAACTTCCAGTCACCCAACAGGACCTTCATCCTCTTCTCATGCACACCCAAAATCTAGTCCTGTGGGTTCCCCTTAACCCTCAGAAGGTTTCGAAAGGGTTCAAGGGGATGCAGACAAGGAAGATCAAAGTTCTGTTGTGCACATTCTGGATCTCAATATTTACAAATTCCTATTATAAAGAATTCAGACAACATATTTCCCTAAAAGCTATTATTATTACTATTATTATTATTATTATTATTAACAACAACAACTCCATCCAATTTTTTTTCAAAGATGCTTATAGCTGGAAAAAAGCCTACTAGCTCCAAATGTATACTCATTCTTCCAACGTCACTTGGGATATGTAAGAGTGGTGGTATGTTGTTGCAAGTCCCAACACCCAAGTCCCTGGTTAGCTGCTGGAACATTAACGGTACTGACATAGTTTCAGCATAGAAAGGCATCTGACTCCTGCCTAGAGCAGTCATCTGTCCCAGCAACGCACATTCACTATTCCCCCAGACTTTTACCTAATGTGGAAATGAAACCCAATTCCAGTAAATGATAATAAAGGATCCCAGTGATGAGACTTGGTGATTGCAGTGATGGGACTTGGTGATTTGAAGCCATCACCTACAACAATGGGGATACTAAGCCTGGACAAAAAAGAAGGCAGGACTTGTATTGACAAAATGTAATGAGATAATGCAGTAAAGTTCTGTCCCTATCCTAACTGAAACTAGTTTTGTCATACTAGTCTGATAAATGCTGGTCATGCAAACACAAACAGGGCATTGAAATATGTCTCCTCCTCAGTTATGAGCCAAGTAAGCTTCAAGTTTACAATCGACAATTTGTATAAAAATTATTAAAAGCAGTGAAAATTCATATTATGATCCTATTTGCAAATTTTGTGTCATTCACCTGTTGTGTCACATGTTCACCTGTTGAGTTATCAGCTTTATATAGTTTGGTTGAAGATTTAAGTAAACTTTTGAGGCTTTCACAAATGTTCTTGCTCTGAGTGCAGAACAAGCCATTCAAGTTACTGTAAGAAAACCATTTCGCAAGCATTATTCCTTCTACAGCATTTGCAGTGTTTGAAACTCCCATTGTTGTAGGTGCATTTTGCAACAGGGAACTTCATTAGGGCAAGCAATTTCTGAGCTCTGAGCTCAGTACTGCGTCTAAGATTTCAGAGTAAAACTACAAAGTGGAAGGAAAGGAGGACCTTTTTCTGCCTCCCCACTTCCAGCAACTGTTTGAAGACTGGAGAAGAGACCCTCTTAAGAATATTAGGGGGGTGGGCAGGGGAAAGACCAGACCATATGAAAAATGAACATATTTTAGCTGCAGTTCATTCATTTTCAGCTTTGCATTCTTATAAAAAAGTGCGCCTTCCGTTGTTGCACCCATAACCTAGGTTTAAGGTGTTGTTTAGCTCTTAGCTTTCATATCTCAGTTTCTAACACTGAGCATTTGCCATATGATACAGATTTAACAAAATAATCATAACTTTCAGCTTGCTATAACTTTTTTTAAAAAAGTATCAGTTATCTTTTACCTTTGCCATGACTTCAGGATCTGGATCTTCTATAGGATCAGCCCATTCAACTGTTACCACATTACCCCAGACTTTCACTTTTCCGCTCATTAGCCTACGCCTGGCTTGTGCTGCAGTTTTATGATCTTCATATTCAAGGAAACAAAAGCCTCTATTCTTTTTTTTGTCATCAGGTTGGTGATACAATATTACATCTGTGAGACCCTCTGAAATTGAAGCCAATCACATGAGTTAAGCAGTCATACAAATTTATTTAAAAAAAGAAGTAAAACTGTGACAATTCATCTTTTTACCCTAATATAATACAGTGGACTATTAGATTTGCTAAAATTCCCCAGTAAAATGTTAGAATTTCTTATATACCGTATTTTTCCGTGTATAACACGTCCCTGTGTAAAAGATGTGTATAATTTTTGGGGACTTCAAATTAAGAAAATGGGGGGAGCTTGCCCAGTGTATAAGACGAGCCCCAATTTTTAACCTAAAAAACCTAGTCTTATACACGGAAACATACGGTAGCTTATCTTCTGATGCTTTCCCCCACATATACCATGGCACTAACTGAAAACCAACAGAGAAAATTTAATTTACTCCCCATCAAAAGTACTTTTCTAGAAAGAAAGTCTGAACTGAACAAGAAAAGACTGCATATGTACAACACTTGCCTCTAATTTGGGGCTAGATATTTGACCAGTCAAATATTTTCAGCAACTGACCAGTATAGTATGTCTCTACTGAATGTCATGAATATTCCATGACATCGTAACAGCTTGGCTTCGTTTGCCCTTTATTTTATCTTAACACAGTATAGTGTGTTAACATAAAATAAAGGGCAAACGAAGCCAAGCTGTTACGATGTCATGGAATGTTCATGAATATTCTAAATGATTGACAACGAGATCTAGCTGAACTGAGCAAAATTACTCCTTTAATAATTTCTTCCAAACAGTCAAACTTACTGAATAAGAGGCTTTGGGTAAAACCTCCCTCAAGCAATGTATGACACAAGGATAGGCCACAGTCCCAGCTCATCTCTTTCTTACTGTCAAGAATATTCCTTATGATCTCAGTTTACAATGTCATCATCATTCAACATCAGCCGAAAGATGGTGAAAAAATTCATCACTGATCACTTGAATTATTTCCTTTTAAATTCACACACCCAAGATACAAAGTAACTTACCTGTTACTTTGCTAAATTCTTCAACTATCTGCTCCTTTGTTTTACTCTTAGGGATCGAGCCAACAAAGAGCCTATTATTGGCAACGGAGATACATACACCAATATGTTTTCCAGAGCGGATTTCATGATTGTTATACTAGAAGAAAGAAAGTAATATAGGGTAGGTCATCCAAAAGTGCTTATGCTTTTCCTTGCTTGCAAACTTTGAACTTTTACTTCTTTGCAGAAATATCACTCAATACAGAGTAGTATTTTTTTCAAAAGAGGAGCAAGTGCTTCAAGTACAGTGTTACCTCGCGTTAAGAACCTAATTCATTCTGGAGGTCCGTTCTTAACGTGAAACTGTTCTTAACATGAAGTACCACTTTAGCTAATGGGGCCTCCCACTGTCACCATGCCGTCGGAGCTCGATTTCTGTTCTCATCCTGAAGCAAAGTTCTTAACCCAAGCTACTATTTCTAGGTTAGCGGAGTCTGTAACCTGAAGTACCACTGTATTGGGAGTGCACCATTTTCAGCAGCGTGGCTTCTAACCATGTGATAATGCAGTTACGTGGGCCACTAAATAGATGGTTCTATATGGCCCTGGGTTGCTTCCACCTACCTGATTAAAAGTAACTGGACACAGTATCAACAAACTGTATTGAGGCACTTTAAAGACTGACAATTTTAGTATGGGATTATATTATCATGGGCCTTGGTTCATAAAAGTTTACGCTATAATAATATTATATTTTTTAAAAATTGCCACAATGGGGTTTTTCTTGCGGCAACAGAATAACCTAGCTACCCTGTAAATGAGTACACTATGCTTGTCAGCTGTGTGGACACCACACACACACATACAAGAACCCTGGAAACTGTAGCTTACCCCTCACACAGCTACAATTCCTAGCACCCTTAAACTACAGCTCTTAAGATTATTTGGGGGAAATGATCTTCAGAGACACCTTGGGTTAAACCCTATGTGTTGCTCTAATCCTAGATCTGAGAAAAGCAGCAACAGTGGTACCTGAGCACAACTATTCTCTGCCTTTCATCTCCTAATACACAAAATGTTGCTTAGTTTCAAAGAAACCAACTACAGCCTGCATTGCAGCAGGATCCTCTCCCATTGGAAACACACATCAATATAAAGTGGAGTAGAAGGCATCCTTACCATACTTCAGTAATTGTACAAGCCATCTCACTCTGTGAGGAAAAGTTAAGCCTAAGACTACCTATGGAGCTACTTGGCTTTTGCTAAGTGTCCCACTGTTCTTGTTTTGACTATGAGCAAAGGATGACCTTGTCAATCTCTCTCCCCTGATACTGCTCCCCTTGACCCTTTATGCCAGTGCTCATTCCCTGAATTGCAAGTCAGAGACCAAGGATATGCTATAATCCTCAAGTAGAAAAGCAAAAGAGGGAACAGAGACCATGGAGAACGATCCCTCATTTTAAGTAGAGTGGGACAATTAGATTACTTTAATATCAAATTAAGCCACTTGAAAGCACTGCACACTATACCAATTTAGTGTACCATGTAACACTACAGTACATTCAACATTAGAGACCATAACCAAAATTTTAATTACGGGTGTGGAACTTTAAGCTAAAAAAATGGTACTTCATAAGCCCAGTCACTAGCCTGGATCTTTTTCAAGCAAGTAAGACAGAAATCTTTTGTAAAATGGTAGGCAGCTAGTTTTCTTTCAGGTCAAGGGTCATGTTTCTTAGCCTTTAAAAAGAACTTGTTCAAAATCCTGCTCTTCATGCAATAATTCCATTTTCCCCACATCTATGATATTCTAACATATAGCCACTAATAGAATTAGAGAAGATATTGTACAGTATGAGCTCACTTAACCCAAGACATAATTCCATGTACACATGTGTAAGACTGCACTGTAAGCATTTCCATTTCTGCTATCCTTGACGCTCACAGGGATGGAAGAAAAAAAAGAACGAACAGCATATAACATAACAAACTGAATAAATAAGTTAAAGGAACTCTTAGAACTGCTTAACTAAAAGAGGTTCTGGAGGTCATGAGACCTAAACAATTCTAATCTACACATCATGATGTACACCATAGAGTATACTTTCAGCCACTGCCAGGGATTTTTGTACTTGCTTTTAGATAAAGGGGTGATCCTAAAAGAATGCAGTAAGAAAAATCTTACCAGTTTAACAGCTTCCTGAGCTGCCTCTTTGTTACAAAAAGTGACAAAAGCGTATCCTCTGTTTAAGCCTGTCAGAGGGTCCATCATTAAGCGAAGATCCCATATAGGCCCTGCTTTCTCAAATAATGGAACCAGTTCATCCTCAAATAAGTCCCTTGGAATCTTACCCACAAATATCTGTAACAAAAAAACATATTTTAAAAAGGATCACACATACGGGTAGCAAGGACACACCACCCCATCATAAAATGTGATGCTGCTTACCTCAGTGCCAACAGAAGGCTGTTGTCCTGAGTAGACACACTCTGGGGGAGGACCACCATATTTTCTTTGTCCAGTAGTCACATCAAGTGTGTAACCCGTTCTCTCCAAAAGTGCCTTCAAATTTAAGTTTAGAGTTTTAAATAAAGTCTAACTGTTTACCAAGTAATTAAACGGTCTAATTAAAATAGGAAAAGGAGACAAATGTTTGCAATGAAATAATCTTTGACACTTATGTTTTAAGAGCGACTTGCATTCCCTCAGCTTTGAGTATGTCTGAGTAGATACTAATTTTGAGCAAATTTGATTTTTGCTTTGAGCAAATTTGATTTTTGCTTTGATTTTTGCACAAAAACACACCCTTCCAAAAAAACCTATTGTACATTTCAATCCTAAATCCTGTGTGCAAAGCTTCTCAAAGTCAGTTTTGCTTCCTTCGCCAGGTGCCTTCTGTTTGCATAGGCAGCTGTTATGCCAAGAATCCTACACTTATCCCACCAAATGAAGGCCTGTTTGTGCCTCACTGCAGGGCAGTAGTTCTCAAACTTTTTTCTCTGGGCCACTTTCAGAATTAAAATTTGCTTGCACCACCCTGAATTTTGTATTGATAAGAAATACATGGGGAAACTGAAATAAACAACTCCTAGCAGTGCTTGATTTATAAAACAGAACACAAGTACTTTATAATGTGATCACTGGACATCCATAAAGTATAAAACAACGCAGCTGTATAAGAACATTAATCATTCCCAAATATAATACTGATTATCCTTGAATCTTCCCATCACACTTGCCACACCAGTGTGGCACACCACACCCTGTGAGAACCACTACTGTAGGACATCAGCAGCCTTCTCTAGGCCATACACAGAGCCTGTTTCAATTGAGAATAGGTGTGCCCTCTGAATTTGGAGAGCATGCTAGAAGTGAAGCATGGAGAGACCTCAAGTTTAAAAGAATACGCCTAATAAAACATAGCATGCCTAGTAGAGCAGCAGCACAATAAGCTTGGAAGTGTCCAGGTCACTTTTTATGGAAGGCCACTCTTCCCCGTCCTCCAAATTGTATGATGAATTAGCATAAACATGCATGCTTCAATCAACACTAAGCCTGCCCTACAGTCCTGGGGACATGCATACTTCAGTTTGACTAAAGAGATTAAATACTGCTCAGTATTTCATTAGCTCTTTGTGAATGAAATAATGGATAAAATGTATTGGAATTCCAGTACTGAGTACTCAAAAAACAAATGCAAGCAAGCCATGGAAAAATATATGTACTGTGTGCAAATGCTACATTCAATTGCTTTTCTACAATTTCTGTACTTGATTGTTGTGGGCTTTCACACAATAAAAAGTTACTCTATCAAAAGATATAATTTCTCATGGTAGAATAAGCTGAAGTATTTGTGGTATACTTCAATAGTCATGAAGCACTGAAGTCTTTCCAGTGTCAGGCTGTACTAAACTTCCAACTGCTGGCTGATACAATTTAATCTCAAATTACAGTGCCAATAGTGATGATTCATGACCCGTCTATATAAAAACAGATGTGAATGTATATCTATTAAAAGCAATAAAGAGAAAGCCTACAAATCATGATGCCAATATTAAATGTATAGACTGGGTACAAAAACTGCCATTCTATAACAATTTGTGGCATAGTGCTAGTGGCACGAATCAGATGTCAGAGGTACTTTCACAATTGCACCCTGCTAACATCTCCCTCTGCAGAATGCAGAACAGGACCTGTATCCAGAGACTTTTTCCAAGAGTAAAATATGGACAAATACTGTGCAGAGGAATCTAAATAAGGGTAAGCTGCTCTTATAGAAATGTCAACTGGCAAGCACCAATGAAGGGATGACCAAGAAAAATATTGTTAAAAAAATACTTCAACACAAATCATTCTTATACAACCACAGAAATTAGCACTAAAGACATAAGCATACCGGCCTATAATGAAACATACCTTGATTTTTGCCTCATCTGGTCCTTTGCTAGAATCTGCCACTTTGGTCCCTTGTTTTTCTCGCTGTCTATATGTCTTCATGACGCCACATAAAAAGGCACTTTTGTTCTAAAAAGATTACACAAATAACGTGTAAGGGCTGAATTTTAAATCAATCATCCTGACTTGTTCATGTTTTTCACATGTGCTAGTACAAACTGTAGTACTATCAAGGAACAGAAATGCCACTATAGTAGTACATTACCTGAACATGTGAGAGATCACTGTCTTTAAACTGCTGAAGCACTGCCAATGCACCTTCTTCATTAAATTCCTTTAAAGCTTCAATAGCTCTTTCATCTAAATCACTGTGAGCAACTAGCCCTAGAAAAAGAAATATTATATTCTAGCATTTTTAGTTATTTCATTTCAGAAGCAGATCCACTGATCAGAGGCCCATTTCAGGATTTCCCCTTTACTTAAAAAGTTGCTTTAATCTACAAATGTACTGTAATACATATGCTGATATTTGTTAAGTTTTGACAAACTCTGAAAAGTCATAATTTTGCATAAACAGTTGACTCAACTTGAGCAGTGATTCTCAGTACTTTTCTGCCTCTTAAGGAAACTGTTTGAAAAGACTAAAGCACTCAAACAATTCTATTGGTCTCCAAAACTGAGCTTCAGAACATGACTGAAAACACAGTAGCCTTTGCACCCACAGGTTCAAACATTAAATCAGGTATCCTCCAGAAGAGATGCTTATGATTACTGCCTCACTTAGTACACAGTGCTCCAAAGACAAATATAATCCACTATGAAGTCTTCCTACTGCCTGAAGTACAACTGCATTCCCCTACCACCACCCATTCACTCAGTACCACAGACTAACCTACAGCAGCATAAATGCCACATTATCGTTTATCATCCAAACACTTGCTAAGAAGACTGCAGTCCCCATCTTTGGGTTTTTGTTTTTTGTTTGGAAACCACAAAAAGTTGCTATTTTAGCCCAAAGCAAGGAAAAGTCCAATAGAAAATATTGAAAATGTGACTTTGCAAGTTTTACATCTTACCTGCAACGTAAATTTCATCTAGTTTTTCAGCAACTTTCTGTGGTAAACCAGCATCAAGCAATGTCTGGAAATGCTCAGAATGGGTAACTGCAGCAGAAGTATCCATCGGCTCTTCAGTACCATTCCCATTAACATGTTCAGAAGCCATGTTTCCAGATATCTGTTCAAATGCAATAAGCATCATAATTAAGCTATAAACCTTAAAGCCGAACTATTGGTGTATCAGTCAATACATGCAGCTACCTGCTAGGGACTCGCAGAGTGTAAGCCGTTTTCCCTACTACTTTTGCAATCAGAAAGCACGCAAGGCTTTTTCAACAGAAAGACTAATAGTGCAAAGGCATACCCTATAACCAAAGCCTAGCGAGGATATTAAGATTTTATTGCAGATTTTACACAATCCAGCCGAACTCTCTAGCTCACCTCCCTTCTCTATCTCTCTAAAACGCCCTAAGCAGCTCTTGGAGAAGTTAGAAATGGAACAAGAAGCAAAAGGCGCGGAAGAACGTGCAGCCACCAACGCGCGACACAGCCACTGCCATTCCCTGCTGCTTTTACCCGAATCGCTTCATTCAACCCTTCGCACCTCTCGCGAAATCCCGTTCCGCTGCCTACGCTACAGCTTCTTCCCGCCTCTTTGACAGGGCCTAAAAGCAACCAGGCGAAAGGAACAAAGCGCTTCCCAGTCCGCACCCAGCCCAAGCGGCGGCAGCCGCCATATGTCCGCTGGAAACACGTGCTCGGCGCGTTCAAATGTCTTACAACTTCCTCCAGCGACCAACTTCCCTCCACCCCACCCCACCCCCCCTCCCGGAAAAGCAGCCTGTCCCTCCTCCTCCTCCTCCTCCACTTTTCCCTCCGGGAGAAGAATTGCAACACCCTGGGCCCGATTTCGCCATGTGGAAAGAACGGGGGGGGGCGGCGGACAAAAATGACTGCTTTCCCATGGCTTTCCTCCTCCCGCCGGGTAAAAACACGCACGCACAGAATCAAGACCCTCCCTCCCTTCTTCCCACCATGCTTCTTCCAACTCGAGCGTTGGAAAGACACGGATCCCAGGCTCCGGCCCGTTACGTGACACGAGGCACGCGGCAAAACCCCACCACCACCATTGCAAAAAGAAGTCGTCCCGCAGCCACATTGGCATCGGCTGCGGCTGCCTGCCCTGCTCCTTCCAGCCTTCCCACCATGTCCCACCCCACCCCGGAGGCGCCTCGTGGCCAATGAATGGCGCTGCCGCCTGGACAATGAGGCAGCTGGAGCCCCTCGCGGGAGGGAGAGGGGGGGCGAGCAGGGAGGGCTTCCCCTCGTTCCCCTCCACATCGTGCGGCCTAGCGGCACCCGCCGTCCAGCGTGGCTAAGAGCCGGGAGAAGCTGCGCGGGACAGGGCCGCCGCCGCCGGCCTCTTTTGTTTATCCAAGCTCCCACCCCGCCGGAACCGGCCGGGCGTCAGGCTGCTTCCCGCTCTCCCTCCGTTTTCCAGGGGCTCCCGGCCCGCTCCTCCCGGGGAGAACCTTCTCTTCGGGCCCCTTCTTTCTCTCCACCCCCATAGCCATCCCCCTCCCGCCGACTCTCCCTCTCCCCTCCCTTCTCCACAGCGCCTGACGAGCCCCGGTGGCTGCTGACCTGTGTGGGGCGAGCGGCAGGGGCTGGCGGCGGCGGCGGGGGAGGGACGACGAGCGGCGCGCGAAAGGGCTCCGGAGAGGGAGGGGTGGCGCGGGCGGGGGGCGCGGTTGCGGAGCTGCCCCTTCTCCGCTCCCTCAGCGTGTCCTGAGAATGTGGCAGGAGCCTGCGTAAAATGGCGGCCGCTCGAGCGCTCACGCCGCTGCTGGCACCAACCAACCCCAGCCCCCTTCCACTCGGCTCAGGCAGGGCGGGGAGAAGCCAGGAGGAGGGAGGGAGGGAGGAGGAGGCGCCGCCGCCGCCGTCGTGTGAGGGAGAGAGAGAACGCGCGCGCGCTGGCGCAGCCCCAACGCCGGGGTCTCCCGAGCAGATCCACAAGGGTTATCGCCCCGCCCGCTAACTTTGGCAAAGCTAGATTCTTAGGCAAGGCGGCGGACCAATGGGAGGCCGCGCATGCGCCTACGGCAGCCAGACGGTGGCTGGCGGTCCTCGGCACGCTGTAACGTTGCGGAAGGCGAGAGAAAAGAACGTTCCGTGCGCTGCTGCCCGCCTCCGTTGCGCGCGCGCCCCCTGCCCTGCCGCCGCCGCCGCCCGCTCTTTGGGCGACTCCTAATTAGCGCTCCGGGAAACTCGCGCACGTTCAAGAACTGAGGGAACTTTCGCGTTCTGAACGTGCCGTAGTTATTTCGGATTGTCACGGCTATTGCAATAAACTTCTTGACGATTAGTGCAATGTTGCTTTTACGCTTCGTTACGTTGTTTAATTTTTGCGTATACTGTGTATTAGATATATATTTAATTTGTGGGGGTTTTTTAAAGTTCGGCGTAAAGTCGTTCGGGGAACCTGGATGTGTACCAGAAGTTGCTGTTGAATAAAAATGTAGTTAACCGGCACTGCAGTTAAGACATAACAGCTAAACTCGACATTCCATTTAAAAAAATAATAATTGCACACATTATCATAGCCTAGCAAAGCTTGGTACTATTCAATTTAAAATTAGTAACAGTAATAGCAGTAACTAATAATAATTATATTGTCAAGTAGATAAACAGCTTTAAACAGGAAGAAGAGTCACTGCTGCCAGTTAATGCTACTTTCCGTACACTCCTGAATTCCCATGAAGGGCAGCTGAGGTAAAGTTGAGCTGAATCCTCAGTTCCCAGGAAGGCCAGCTGAGGGACAGCTGAATTGTGAAGACTATTTTTTCCCCATTATGGGAGGTGGTAGGGACAGGACAGTTAGGCTAGTGTCTAAAGCAGGGGTGGGGGTGGGGTTGTTTCTGACCCTCTAGCCCAGGCATCGCCAAACTTGGCCCTCCAGATGTTTTGGGACTACGATTCCCATCATCTCCGACCACTGGTTCTGTTAGCTAGGGATGATGGGAGTTGTAGTCCGAAAACATCTGGAGGGCCAAGTTTGGCCATGCCTGTTCTAGCCAAATCTAGTGGGTTCATACTTGTCCTGTGAAGCCATTTGGTAACTTCTAGGGACGCAGGTGGCGCTGTGGGTTAAACTACAGAGCCTAGGACTTGCCGATCAGAAGGTCAGCAGTTCAAATCCCCCTGACGGGGTGACCTCTCGTTGCTCGGTCCCTGCTTCTGCCAACCTAGCAGTTCGAAAGCACATCAAAGTGCAAGTAGATAAATAGGTACCGCTCCGGCGGGAAGGTAAACAGCGTTTTCGTGGGCTGCTCTGGTTTGCCAGAAGCAGCTTAGTCAAGCTGTCTGCGGACAAACGCCAGCTCCCTCGGCCTATAGAGTGAGATGAGCGCCGTAACCTGAGTTGTCCACGACTGGACCGAACGGTCAGGGGTACCTTTACCTTTTAGGTTGGATTACTGTCGTGTAATGCTTCTTTTGCACTTGATCCAAAAGCTGCAGTTAGTGGAAAATGCTGCAGCAACGTTGCTGACTGGAATGAGAACCTGTCTGCATATAACAGCTATGCTCAGAGATCTGTGCTGGTTGCCCATTTCCTACCAGGCCAAGTTCAACGTGGTAATTATTACTATATAAAGTCATTAACAGCTTGGGACCAGTTTACTTGTGAGATGGCCTTACCCCAAATATGCCTACTCAAATGCTTCGATCTACAGAACTGGCATTGTTACAGGTGCCACATAATACTCATTCTTTAGTTGTAAGAAACTGATCTTTTATTGTGGCTACATTTACACTTTAGAAGTAATTGCCTATTGATATCAGGCAGGCTCCTTAACTATTTTTTATATCCCCTGCTTAAAACATTTTTGTTTGGTAAGCCTATCTAGACATGTAGATGTCTACCAGCTCCACATGGTGCGTCAGCTGAGACCCTACCTGCCTGCGCACTGTCGTGCCAGAGGTACATGCCCCTGCAATGAGCTCTATGTGGGGCCACCTCTGAAGGTGACTCGGAAACTACAACTAATCTAGAATGCAGTAGCTAGAGTGGTGACTGGGAGTGGTCACTGGGACCATATAACACTGGCCATAAGGATCTACATTTGCTCCCAGTATGTTTCTGAGCAGAATTCAGTGTTTAAAACCCTAAATGGCTTTGTCCCTGTATACCCGAACGAGCATCTCCACCAGCATTGTTCATCCTGGACAGTGAGATCCAGCTCTGAGGGCCTTCTGGCAGTTTCCTCATTGTGAGAAATGAAGTTACACAGAACCAGTCTTCTCAATAGTGGCAGCGCCCACCCTGTGGAACGCCCTCCTGTCAGATGCCAGAGATAAACAATTATACAACCAGACATCTGAAGGCAGCCCTGTATCGAGACACTTAATGTGTAATGTTGTGTTGCATTTCTGTTTATGTTGGAAGCAGCCCAGTGGCAGGGTCAACCCAGTCAAAATGTGCAGGGTACCAAAAATAAGTTTTTTTTTCTTTAAAGCCTATTTTAATCATATTTTGTAATGTTTTAAAATACCTGTAACTTTTTGTCAACAATTTTAGTATTTTATTTTACATTTACCTAGACTCCCCCCCCCATCAAATGGTATGTAAATTTTTGTAAATATAATTTTCATGTAAACCAGTCATCTGCCCCCTGCTAGTGCACCATCAGGGGCCTTAAAAGTACAGCAGGCTTCAGTTCTAGAGTGATAGAGCTGATGCCTGCAGAAAGCCTACCTCTTGGTTTAAAAAGCACAGTAATGGTTAAAGAAATCCCAATAGACAGTTCCACAGAAAAGGCCCTCCAGTAGGTGGGTTTTCCAGGCAACATCCATATAAAACCACCGAAGCCATCCAATTTCATGGTGGTATGCAAATGACAGCTCATTTACTGTTGTATCTCACCCCAAAACCATTTTAGCGCTGCAACACACCCCAAAACCATTTTAGCGCTGCAACTGCTTGAGTTCCACCAATTAAATTATTCAGGAAAGTTTCTTCAGTAATATATTAAATAACTAATATACAGTGATTGTAAAGCTTTATTCTGAAACATTGCTTCAATCTTCATTCTCAAGAGCCACATAAGATCCCATGACATGAAAAAGAACCATTTGAGAACATCAAACTTTGAATATAGCAAAGCCACTGGACATATAATTGTTATAAACATTTAACTGCAATAAATGTTTTCATTTATATTTTATTATTAATCTGATATTCCTTAATGGAGGCACACATGCACGCTGCAACTTCATTCAGGTAGATTCCAGATAACCTTGTTTGATGCATTTACTTCTTATCACTGAAAAATTAAACACAATTAAAAAAAGATTAATGCAGATTATTAGAACATCTATTGTACTCAAGATCAATAATTTAAGACCAGTAGAAATACATTTAAGCAACATACTTATTCCCAGTCTGAACTATTAAATGTTTCAGGTCTTATTATTGTGAATCCTGGTGGCGGCTCAACTGTTGTTTTCAATATAATTCAGTTGGAGCTTTATTCATATCAGAGTCCACTTCAAACATTTCTATGGTTTTTATTGGTTGCTACTTTTGATTCTCAAGTGCTTTGCAAATCAACACATGCAAATGTTTTCTTACCTGTTTTTGCAACAGGCACTGTAAAAAGGAATTGAGTCTTCCGCCTACAGGCTTGGCTCTCCGTCACATCCCTGTTCAGAAAGCAATGATGAAACTTTAAAATAACTTATATTCAACAGAGAAATATTAATTATAAATCTGGAACATTTATGTCTTAAGAGTCCTGTTTTATGACACATGTCTATACACTGAGCTCAGAGGTTAAATGGTAGTTACAAAGATAAAAGCTTGTTTGGCCTTAGATAACAAACTGAAGCCCAACAAAGCAGACTTCATCAACCTGGGGCCCTCCGGATGTTTTGGACCACAGACCACAGGAAGCATGACGCTGCTAGCTGGGGCAGATGGGAATTCTAGTCCCAAACAGTTGGAAGGCACGTTAGTGAAAGCTAACATCTGAAGGTAGCCCTGTATCGGAAGCTTTTAATGTGATGTTCTGTTGTGTTTTTGTTCAATCTGTTGCAAGCTGCCCAGTCGCTGGGGTAACACAGTCAGATGGGAGGGGTACAAAAAACCCCATCCATTATTGCTATATATTATAGAGGCTTTCTAATAACATAAAACAAGCCAGCCCAGTTCCAATATTTTTACAGGCTCACATAATCCCTTTCTGCATCAAGTGTGACACCACAATCTGGCAAATGTGAAAAGAACCAAACCATCTCCTCCAACTTTGAAGCTGCAGGTTGTTAGAGACAAAGCCAGCATGTTATTTGGTGGTTTTCATGGAGATGTCTACAGAGCAGGCATACAGAACCTGTCACCCTCCAGATATTACTGGACTACAGTTCCCATCATTCCTAACCACTCTGTTGGGACTGGGACTGGTGGAAGTCCAATATCTGGAGGCACCCAGTCCTGGCTGTAGAGTCTTAGGCACATCAGCAAAACAATTCTGCTGGACCTTCACCAAAAGCTGGTAGGGTGCAGCTACTGCTTGGAAGATGCTCAGTCCAGTAACAGCAACCTACTGGCCACACAACACTTGCCTTGGAAAAGTCCATAAGGAAGGTTTTAGAGACTTAACTTTGCACCAAGGCACTTCAAGCAGTGGCACCAAACCAGCATGTCCCCCCCTGCCCATTTGAATACAACTTACCAATTCAAAACATTCCACCTGCTTAATGTACGTTAGGAATGAGGAACTGCTGCCTGGATTTCATCTGCTATAACCTTTAAGTGAAAGACAGAGAAAGTAGCATCAGCGTCAACAGAATTTGATTTATTATCTACATATCAAACACTGGTTTACTGATGGTAGTCTCAGAAGCCGGATCCATATTGGCAGTTTTTCATCAAACTGTATCAGGTTCGGGATAGGCTCATCACCGGTTGAACCAATGCCAATACATTCTCAATATGAAAATTTAACTCACATACCTTTAGGATAAAGTAGCTTCAAGCCTGAAAAGGAAAAAATACTGTATTAGGGAAATGCTTTTCCTTATATTTCTCCTTCTGGTAAGAAACCCAATTTTCTTTTTATTCTGCAGAACAGTGATAACTAGAGATTTCTTACACAACAATGCAAACCCATGTTTCCTTAGTTCAAACTGCACACCATGGTTTAAAATAAGTTTACAAGCCATGAAAACAGCAGCACAAATGCAACAGAACCATAGTTAATGGCATCAAGGGAAAGTTGCATGAATCCAGTCTGCAAATCATGGCATGCAGGGAGACAATGTTACACCTGCACGTGCTGATTTAAAAAAATAAATTACCTTCCAAAGTGGAGTTTGACACAAGAGGCTGGAGCAACTCCCACATGAACTAAGGTTACAACATCTGGGGCTTTTTAGTTTTGACACTTCATAAAATTAGAATCCAAGTGTACCCAACAAAGCTGAATGGTGGGAGATCTCAGGACAAATATGTATTTATTCAAATAATTAACAGATGGAATTCACACCCAAAAAATGTAGTGATATCTGCCAACTTGTGATGGTTTTAAAATGGAACAAATTCATGAAGGATATCATGCAGGAGGCTGCTACTGCATCCACACCCTGCTTGTGGGATTTCCATGCATATCTGGTTAGGCACTGAGAAAAAAATGCTGGACTAGGTAGACCTTCGGTCTAATCCAGCAGAACTCTTATGTTGTTTACCAGTCAAGCAACACTACAGTGACTTAAGTTACAGCAACAGAATTCTCCCTCTCCCTAGTTTCTCAATCTCTCATCCTCTTACAAAAGCTGAGGAGAGCAGTTTTGAGTTCCCAAACAGTAACCTTACAGTTAATGACTTTAGTCTCCAAACAGCATTTTAACATACCTAAGAAAATCCACTATTCTCCATAGAATACTTTTCTACATATGTTGGTGTTTTCATAATCTGAAAATAAAATTTTATAAAGTTCAGAAGAAGGAAAAGTAGTAATACACAATAAAAGAATTAAGTCAGGGAATATCAAAACTGTGACTCATAACTGGCAAACAAGATTCATCACAAAACTTAATTCCTTCTGCCTGAATTCTGTATTTTAATGCATGAGTACAACTCTAACAGGGTTGTAGATTCAGGTAGGTAGCTGTGTTGGTCTGACACAGGCGAAATATATATAAAAGAATGTCCAGTAGCTCCTTAGAGACCAACTAAGTTTCTTCTTGGTATAAGCTTTCGTGTGCATGCACGCTTCTTCAGGTTGGTGCTACTGAACTCTAACAGGGGCCCATGGTCACTTGGAGCCACTACCACACCCAAAGCCCTGCTGCCTTGTTAGGGCATTATTTTTGCAATGCTTGTTGTAGCAGCTCCAGGCAGAAACAGCTATCCCACAGCAATTTGGGTCCCTTTCCAGTACATGTGCGGACCTGCATTGGCAGAGAAAGCCCAGCAGAGGGAAATCTCCACAAATCCCAAACTCTTTCCAGCAGCATGCCTCCAGGGTTAGGACTGCTCCCTTAGAAGGCACCCCTTTAAAACCATAATCATGCATGTTCAGAAAATGAACTGTGCATCTAGGATACTATGACCTGAGCTATAGTGTTGTATGTAGTTAAGAACAAAGTACAAGTCAGAATGTTCCAGCTGAAGGTTTTCATTTGCAGGATATTGACAAGCATACACAGAAATAGATGTGTTTTAATAAGGTAATGCCACTATTATCCAAAATAAGGATTCCAAGTACACAAATGTCTAACACCTGCTTAAAGTTGGCTGCAATGTAATTAATATCTGGAATACTTTCAAAATCTTAGCTAAAGTACAGTATGCAAGTATTTTGAAGCAGAGTACTGGATACATACCACAGAGCTCATTTTGTGTCCCCACAATAGTAACACAAATCTTAGTTCCATAGCTCCTGGAACAGAGATAAAATAAGACAGGGTTAAAATCCGATTACACAGCTATCCAGGTTTGCAGCATACAACAAAGAGCACCTCTTGCGACAACATGACTGTTATGGCACAAGCTTCCATGGACTAAAGTCCACTTCATCAGATGTAGCCAAGGGAGAGCTCAGTTGGTAAAGCATGAGTCTTAATCTCAGCGTTGGGGGTGCAAGTCATGGACAAAGTTTCCTGCGTTGCAGGGGGTCGTACTAGATGACCCTCGTGGTCCCTTCTGATTCTATGATTTAGTGAAATCTTAATCAGCAGGTAAAGAAAGTTATTAAGACAGTAGATTAGTGGGTCAAGATTTCATGAAATTAGTCTGATTATGTTAGAACTTTGGCGTGTGTTAGATAGGCACGCCTTTTACTTGGGGATCCAAGCAACCGAGGCAATTCCAGCCCTAACTATTTCAGTCCCGTTCATTTCATTTGGGAGAAATCCTAGCAAGCACTTAAGGCCGCTGCTAAGAATTACAGTCATACTGCTCCCGAGAGCTGGATTTATTTACGATGGGCTCGTCCGTTCTCTTGACCTCCTCCCTCGTGCTTTTTTATGAAATATCAGCCGCGGGGTGGAGACGAGATCCCTATAGGGCGGCGGCGAGAACCTCTCTTCCTCCTTCGTGGTTTTCCTACCTGTAGCTACGCGCTTCCCCACTTTAATTTGCTCCAAATTTGCAGATGGGGGGGAGACACGTGGGAGAGCGATTTTCGGCGGGAAAAGACGTGGAATAAAAAAAAATGCTCGCTCCTTTTAGCCGTGCAATAAGACAGGAGTCTCCCCCCACTTTAACACATCATTAAAAATATCCTCTTAATTCAAGCCTCCACGTGCGAGGGAGCCTGCCAATCCCAGCCTACAACACCCCATCACGAAACTCCTGCACGCGCAGCGCCCCCACGTCGCCCGCGGCCCCCACGCAACCTTCATTGGTCGCCCCCCAAAAGCTACCGAGGCAGGGGGTGCACTAACGCCGAGGGAAAGCTCGCGAAAATAATTTTTAAAAGCGCCGTTTCTGCAGCGAGAGCGCGAGTGACAAAGCGCACCCTGCCACAAAATGGCGGCAATTCCCGTTTAACGGCTACTCCCGTACCCAACCCTCACCTGCTTCCTCGAGGTCCAGGCGAAAGAGCGAACTGGCGTCCTCCCCGTGCTTTATATAGGATTCCTCGGAGCAGAACGAGGCTAGCCACGCCCACCCGTCTCTCATTGGATGCAGGAGAGAGACGAGCGGGGATGGCGCGCGGGAGGGGGGAGGTGAAAGGCAGGCCTTTCGAGTGGACTTTTTTCTTTTTTCATTCCTCTTGTGCAGAAGGAGAGAGGCGTGGCTTCTTTCAAGCCGAGGCTGTCAAGGGGTTTCCCTCCATGGCGCTTTGAACGATTCTCTGTTTCTTTATGATCCGATCCCACTTCCCTTCGCCTTCGTCCGTAGCCACCTCGTGGTGGAGGGGCCGTAGCACCAAATAAGACATTTTTTTTAAAAAAAGGAGCCAGGCTTTTTCTAAACTGCCAGCCCGCACAAGGCAGGATTTGTTTATTTTTGCTTATTTTGAGAAATGAATGAATGAAGGTCCGAGAGAGGCGTTCCTCTTGCTGCCTTCAAGTCCTCTGAAATCTCCAGGCTGACTCAGAGGAACTGCATACGGTTCAACAGTACTACTCGGGAGCAAGTTTCCTGTCGCTTTTTGCAGTTACTTGGCAAATTAAACACAATTAAACAAATTAAACACAAATTAAATACTTAGGCGCACCAATACAAAGACAGCCGTCTTCTTTGCACGGGGAAGATTCAGACAAAAGGAGTCTGTTTTCACGGTACCCGCGGAGGGGTTTACACGGCTCTTGTGTCCCCCGTCCCCTCTTTCACTCTGTAATGTGTCTCAGACCTGGGTGGAGCAGCCACGAATAACAGCCGCTCCGCTTCCCCTACGCCGAAGAGACAAGGTCCTGTCCAGATGCAGGCTTCCTTATCATCGTGTGGAATCTGTTCACGTTTCTGTTGGCGCTTCCACTAGTGATCTATACAGGATCGGACTTCGTTTCAGCCAACACCATCCTTCCTCTTCCCCCTCCCTCTCCCTCTTCCCCCGACAACATACTAGAGTTAATATGGATCTCAAGGCATGCTTTTAGAACTTGTATGCTTAGCTTTAAACTCCATAAAATTAACCTATTGCTAGGATGCTATTTATTGAAGTCTGTGTCGATTAAAATATGTTCAGATACAAGTGTTTTTTCCCCTTGTTATACAATTATTTTAAAAATTGCATTTAACTATTTACTATTTAAACAGCTTATACACCACTTTACTATAATCATCTCTGAAGTGGCATACAAGAAATACATCGCAGAAAAAGTTAACATTGATTACATCAGACTTCAGTTAAAAATACCTGCTGGAATAAAAAAAAAGTATTCAGTAGGTGCTGGGTGCTCAACAGGGAGGGGGTCCTGTTTGATGATCTCAACTGACAAGATGTAAGTGTGGTTGAATCAAATGGGAACAGTGACCACAGTGCTATCAAATTCAACATATATGTAAGTGGACAATTGCTAAGGAAATCCAGAACATGATAAATAACAAGATGAAAGTTGAAAAAAATCTTTTTTAATAATTCCAGTGACACCTTTAAGATCAACTAAATATAAGCTTTCAAGGTATGAGCTTTCCTGTGTAATACACACTTCGTCAGATACTCTGAAGCAGATGTCACTTCAACCTTATTACTGTTGATGACTGTTATGGCAGTTGGTTCCACAGGGAAGGGCAAGGGATTTTTAAAGGGATAGATGACCAAAATTAGCTTTAGTATGTATACTGGGACATGAATCCAATATATTCAGACCAGGTCTCTCCATAGTTTTTAGTTTGGTAATGAAATCCAGAACAGTTATATTTGACTTCAAAAGAGGAGACTTCCTCAAAATGAGGGATTTAGTAAAAAGGAAGTTGAAAGGGGAAAAGTCAAAGATCAAATATTTCCAGAATACCTAGGGTTTTATAGAGAACCACAATAATAGAAATTCAGCTGCAATGCATACTGCAAATTGGGAAAGGCACCACAAGAGGATGCCAGTATACCTATTGGAGGCAAGAAGGCTTGGTTCAGAAAATGGAAGACCTGCCCAAATGAGGAGAACAAAAGGGGAAACAAACTTTGGTAAAATAAATGCAGGCAATAAAGGATTTTAAAAAACTCAACTTGGAATATTGCTAGAGCCATTAAGACCCACTTTTTTAAAAAAATATATCAATAATTAAAAGCAGGAACTGGCTAGGAAGGTGATTGGACTTTGAGGCAGCAAAGGGCTCAGTATACTGAAGAGGAAAAGGAGATTGCAAAGAAGCTCAATGAATCCCATCAAAATCCCATCAAAAAGTCCCAAACTAAATTAAAACAACAGTCTACCAACCTAAGAAAAGCAGGATTACTAGTAAAGGAAACAGTAACACAGTATATGCGGCATACTACATGCATAGGAACTGGTTGTCATGGTCAGCTGAGAAGAGGTTATGGCTCAGATGACAAGGAGAATAAAAGGAATGCAATACCGTTATACTCATACAATATCTGAACTGATCAGCATGAGCTTTTAATTGTGTATTGCATTCCTCTCTCTAAAAAATATTCAAACACAAGAGGGCACTCTAGTATTTATGGGAAATATTTACAAGAGGCGCTAAACAGGAAGGGTTATTCTGCACTGGCAAATAATTGGGTCAGGCCCATGAACAGGAGATGGCAGTCCACTTTTGCTTGATGGATCACCCTCTGGCACACAGGTGTTGGTGTCCAGGATGATTCAGAAATTTGAAGAAGCCAGGAGTGTTGCCTTCCTCCTCATCCACGCAGCAAGCAAGTTCCCTGAAGTAACCCGTGCCAGCCTCAAAGCACTGCTGCAAACTCTGACCCTCTTTGAACCATTTCCCAACACAGAGAACACTCAGGGGATGATGAAGAAGGGTGGTGGTGTTGAGGTGGCACCAAACTGAGAGGAATTACAGTGTTATGGAGCGTCCTTGACCTCCACCTCCTTACCGCTGTTACCTGCTGCCCATCTGCTTACCTCTGCCTCAGCCCAATTAACCTCACTTCCCAGAACAAGAGGTCAAGGTGTGCAGAAGTTGCTGTTCCTCCTTGCCCTCATGGCATGCTTAGTTGGAGCCTTCCAAAGATCAGTAATGAGCTTCTTATTTGGATGTGGGCCTCATTAGGTGCCCACTGACCTCTGGTGCTGGACCTGAACAGCACTGTAGATGTGGATTCAGACCCAAATAATAATAATAATAATAATAATAATAATAATAATAATAATAATAATAATTTATTTAAACCCCGCCCATCTGGCTGAGTCTCCCCAGCCACTCTGGGTGGCTCCCAATCAAATGTTAAAAACAGTACAGCATTAAATATTAAAAACTTCCCTGAACAGGGCTGCCTTCAGATGTCTTTTAAAGATAGGATAGCTGCTTATTTTCTTGACATCTGAAGGGAGCGTGTTCCACAGGGTGGGCGCCACTACCGAGAAGGCCCTCTGTCTGGTTCCCTGTAACCTCACTTCTCGCAATGAGGGAACCGCCAGAAGGCCCTCGGTGCTGGACCTCAGTGTCCGGGTAGAACGATGGGGGTGGAGACGCTCCTTCAGGTATACAGGACTGAGGCCGTTTAGGGCTTTAAAGGTCAGCACCAACACTTTGAATTGTGCTCGGAAACGTACTGGGAGCCAATGCAGATCTCTCAGGACCGGTGTTATGTGGTCCCAGCGGCCAGTCCCAGTCACCAGTCTAGCTGCCGCATTCTGGATTAATTGCAGTTTCCGGGTCACCTTCAAAGGTAGCCCCATCATCTCATGTCAGTCATGCCCATGGCAGCATGCATAGCTGCTATACCCAAGCTCAACTAAGGGGAACCTGTGGCCCTTTAGATGCTGTTGGACTACAACTCTGGTCATTCCTGACCACTGGCCATGCTGGCTGAGGCAGATGGAAATCTAACAACATCTGAAGGCTACAGGTTCACTATCCCTGCCTAGATATATAACCGAGGCTTGTTTCACATAGAACAAAGAAATATGGAAGAAAACAATCTAAAAAGATATTACTAGGGAGGCATGTGTGTGTGTTTAGAGCGGGTTACTATGTTTGTGCCCAGTTTCATATCATAACTCAAAGTGCACTATTTTATATTCCCTGGAAGTTAATATAATAAATGTTGTGAATTACATCCACATAGCTAAAGCTATTAGTAAGATAAACAGAAAAACTTCCATTACCAGATGATACCCAAAGTTTATCTTTCCTTCCTTCCTTCACACACTGGATATGTTAACCAAACTCTGACAGTCTCCGATTGCTATTAAATTCCCCCAGCCATAAAAGGAATGAAATAATAATTGGAGCCTTGTCAAAGGCTCTTTGTGCAAAGGCTTCTGTGTAAACAACTTGAGACAAAGCTACACTGTCAGTGATCATCATAGGTGCAAGAGCTATTACTGCAGTTATTACCAAGCAGACTGAAGCAGTGATTATTATATTTTACAATGTTTATTGCCAGCACCATTAAATGGTATGCAATGGAGAATTCTGAAATTTTGTATCTGAGGAGAAATGTTCAGTGTACAATGGCCCATCTGGGACAAGGTATGAAAAATAAAAATAAGTTACTACACATTGAGATAAAGCAGGTGTGATCAGATTCCAGTTCAGCTCTGGTTTCTGTGTAATGCCATACAGAAATTGTGTGTCTTCCATGTGTATTCCACCGTTTCTCCAGCCACAATAACCCTGCAAGGTAAGAGATAAAATGGATCTAATCAAGCTTGTGGTGTTTTGAGTTGTGGTTCACAATTTAAAATAGTATGGTCCACAAACTAAAGTGTTGGACTTGGACCTGGGAGACTAGGGTTCAAATCCCCAACTTGCCCTTAAGCTCCCTGGGTGACCTTGGCTAGTCACTTCCTCTTAGTCTAACCTTCTTCCCAGGGTTCTTGTAGGGATTAAATGAGGAGGAGAACCATTTCCACCACCTTGAGCTACAGGGAGAAGAAGGTGGAATACAAATGCATCAAATAAATAAATAAATAAATAAATAAATAAATAAATAAATAAATAAATAGATAAATAGATAGATAGTGAGGTGCTACACAAATACAGAGCTGCCCAGAGTTGTACATTAGGAGGATCACCTTGCTGTCCTGAAGACATTGATCAACTTTTATGGATCCCAGATAGCAAACTTTGCACATATTACAAGTACAGTCACCACTCTTCAGGACATACTTTCAGAATTCATTTAATGTATCTTCAGGTGAGTATTACAAAAGAAGAGTATTGACTAGTATGAAAATGGAACAGGAAATCATCAGATCATAATGTGCAGGATTTCAGTGCTCTTACTCTGAGGGAATATGTTTAGAATCAGAGGAAATGTCTCTTAATTTCAAAGTATTCACCATGGCTTTACTAGTTTGGACAGCAATATACACTTATGACCAGTAGGGGGCAATTAAACACAAGGTATTTACCGTAGTTACTCCGTTTAAGCCAAATACAGTAGATTTCTGGAATCTGCTCTATTTCTTTTGCTATTCCTGTGTGAGAAAGAGGTTTAAAATTAATCTGAAGTTTTTGATTGAATTCGTCTCAACTGGCAAACCCATTCTAGGACACTCTAGTTAAAAGATGATGACTGAATATGTTGAAATAAGTTGTGTTCACTATATTCACTGGCTCTTTTGAAATTGACAGTTTTCTCTGACGGATTCTATAATATTATTTTATTTATTAAAAAGTAAAGAAAAAAATGTGATTGAAATAAAAACCTATCCTTAAACCATTTGGATAGGAAAGTTAATAATAATAATAATAATAATAATAATAATAATAATAATTTCTCACTAGAAAAGGTAGTGAAAGTTCTCACAGAATGGATACAGGTTAAAAAGATTTTGCACAAGCATGGTGTGATGGGGAGGAAAATGGGGTATCTCATTTTACAGATCCTACAAATCTTCCACTCTATGTCAACGTATATTTGTCTGTATACAAACACACTATAATGACAGCCCATCACTGTGATGCCTCTACTGGAAAGGCCTAAATGAGATTGACCGTAATGACTTGGCACAGCGGAGGAACACGTGGCCAGCAAAGGAATCTTATTTTATTTATTTGATTATTTTTATATAGCTCTTCATCCCAAAAGGGCTTCCAGACCGCTACAAACAAGACGATCCCTGCCCATAGACTTACAATTCAAAAAGGCATGACATAAAGGGGAAATGGATAATGAGAGAGTTCCAGGCTTAAGGGGCAGTAAGGGAAAATGGGAAGAGTTGTTTAAAGCAGTAGGAAAACTCTTATGGATGTAGCCTTAGGAAACTCACAGCAGCCCAATGACCACAGTAAGCTTCCATTTTTCTAAATCAAGAGTCAAGCAAAGAAACATTATTAACAACAACAAAGTGGGATACAGATGGAAATATTGCAGTATGGACTTTTCCTGTTCAAGAGTTTAACCAGTCATGACTTCCTTTAGTTACCGCATTCTATTTTCCTCTCATGATCAGTCATCATTCTGTGACCGTTGAGTATACTCAGTCCTCACCGGACTCTTTCCGTTTTTTTCTCCCTTTAGGGTTTGCATCTGTGCAAACCTTGGGGTTCTCCCAAGTGTGCTTATATCTCTCGTATGGGATCAATGTCCTTTTGGCTACATTTGGAGAACTGAGTTCACTGCTAGGCTACCCCTATTCTCCTCACAGAGCTA